TTTAAGACCCCGCGGGAACCCTGTATATTTCTATATATATATATATATATTTATTTGCTTTCATTGGTTAGATGACAACAACATGGCTGACAGTTAAGACACACACAGACACCCCAGATAGCAAAAAGTAATTGAATCAACATTGAGATATTGTCACGCTGAAGATTGTGATCAACATTGATGTCAGACACACAAAATGAACTAACAAAAAAAGAGCCATTCAGTTGATTATTACGATTTAATTCAATTATATGAACATTTTGTACATTTTTTGTCTACTTTAGCACACAAAACATTCTCTCTTTTAAAGGTCTTATCATATGCTTTTCTGGTTATTACCCGTCCCCTTGTGTGTTATGTAGGTTTCTCTGCATGTAAACGGTCTGCAGAGTCACAAACCCTCAAAGTACACCCTGTAGCGAGTAAAACTCTAACACAGAAAATACCTGTCTATGCAGCGCTGTATGGAAGCTGTCAGCCGACTCGCCCAGCCCAGCTGTGTGTGTGTGTGCTCAGGCTGAGTTCCTCTGTGTCTCGCAGACCCCATGCCATCATCATGTTCTGTTTAAAGCAGCTTTGCTAGACGTTGATAACATGCATTCTTCACATGCTGAATATATGGATTTGAAAAAATGCACGTTTTGCAACATAACACAAGTTAAGGACATTTCTTGACATAATAAACATCTAGCAAAGCTGCTTTAAACAGAAAATGACGATGGCCTTTGAACACAGATTCTGAGGATGGTTTCTGCTTCTGCTTTTATCCATCAGGTCAAAATAGGATTCACACACCTGGCATCATTGTGATATATCAGGCCTCAGCCTCTTCAGCACATCACAATCAAAGAATTTAAGAATAAACAAATATAACAATTACAATCCAGTGCCTCTTGTCAACTGGCAACTCACAATTCCACACATTTCAATTTCACAGGCAAATGGGACTTCATGCTTAAAATGACTGCATGTGCAAGTACATACATTGAAGTTTTACCTGATCACTAACAATGAACTTGAACAGTAGAAATACTGGATATGCCCCTCTTTTGAACTGGCAACTTACACATCCACACATTCTTTGATTCTCTATTTCAGAAGGGAACTTATATGCTTCAAATGAAATGAATGCTGTGAGGTTTTACATGAGCACTAACCACAATGCACTAGAACAGGCGAAACATAGGTTAAAGTCATGTCTGGCTTCCCCATTAACATTCACAGCAAAAGCTTTGTTTTCCGAGAGCTTATGCGCTGCGAGCGTCGAGAGCCAAGCTCTTAAAAGATAGTCTGAATGGCTTCAAAGGTATACCTCATTTCCTTTGGAAAACCCATGTTCATTGCATAAAGTAGGCCAAAGAGGTATGCAAAGGCAGTAGAGAGGTCTGGTAGGTCATGCAGTACAATGGTCCCTTCCAACACAACAGCCACGTCTCGCACATTTGGCGATATGGCGGCATCATCATCTTCAATGACGGTGAGGATGGCCACAGACACACCTCTGAGCAATCGTTCTTCATGGTCAGTGTCCTGAGGAAAAGTAAAATATGCATGAATGAGTGCTATGGAAAACTAAACAACAAAATACATATCCACTGATTCTAACTTTAGCACCAATCTACTGAGTCTTACCATTCAGCTTGTGGAAGTTATAATTGCAAATCAACAGCACGGCATCTCTGGGCTCAAAATTAAATCTTACACAAAGTGTATTGTGCATAAAATGTATAACTAGTTTAGCTAGTTCCAAAGGTAGATAAAATAGCTAAGTGTGTTTGGTCTAACTTGAAACGTGTGTTTTGCTCCGCTCATCGGTCCGTCAGCGGCTGAGCTTTAGGTGAGCACTGAGCTGCGTGACCTAAACACGGCAAGTGTTGCGGCAAAGTATATATTTTTTCTCTCTCTCTTAATTCCCCAAGCCCCAAAATTCACTCGATGATTAATATACCCGTTTTAGGAAAAGTCACGAAGTTTGAGATGTGTTTTACCCTCAACTAAACAACAAGACCTGTAACACAACAATGTCAGAGTCACCGGCTGCCGGCTACCCCAATAAACAGACGTTAATAACCGGTGTAACGGCGGAACAACAATGCCGCCCCCCCCCCCCCGTTCCGTGTATCGTCACACATACACACAAGTTCTGTATAAAACGTATGAACACGGCTCACAGCGAAAATGTATAACACATACATTTCCGCCAGTCAAGGCTAAGTTTCAACACAGTGGCAACGTTGTCATATCCCAATCAATGCTGTGTGTAAAGTTATAGCGTTATATGTCTGGCTCGGTTTACTTTAACACCGGTCATCTCACCATTTAAATGCATTATAGACGCCTTCAGGTGCTTGAACATAAATTCAACGCCATCTGTAGCTAAGCTAGCAAACCTAACTGTGGTGGGTAGTATCTATCTTTTGGTTTAAATAGTACAGTGCACTTTACTGTTAACATTCCTTGTTAGGTAAAACACACACTTACCTGATTAGGCAAACGAGGTAGACAAATGTCCCAAGAATCCCCAACGTCACAGCGATGTGTCTGACAAATTCACTCAGCGCAGCTCGCCCGCTCAGAGACAGTGACAGCCGGGACCCTGCAGAAACCCCGTAGACGAAAGCAATGCGCATGCGCGCACTGCATAGCAAGCAGTTGACATTCAAATGTAAATATTAACTATTCTGATTGGAGGGGAGAAAATACATATTTTAAGAAGGAGAACTCTGATTGGTTGCTCATTTGATATATGTATTGACGTTCAACTTTTACTGGTTCTCTCTTGCATCTTGTCTGAGGTGAGTGTGTGACTGTTCTTATAAATTCATTGTGAAGCTGGTTAAGATTTGTTTCTAAAATAAGGGCACATTTATGTCATTTATTAACAAGCAGGTTAAATAAAGTAATGTTTGAAGTCATTCAACTATGAACAATTAAATATATTTCAAGGCATACTTTATTTATTCAAGGTTGGAAGAAGTAATCTGATCCTTTACTTTAGAACAAATACTCATTAGCACATTTCTTTGCTAAATATATTTTGCTAAAGTATCAAAAGTTTCATGTAGATCTGCAATCAAAATATTTTTGGGGTATGGGGGGGTCTGGGACCCGGAGTAATCCCGGCGGGCGGGAGCTGTTATGTCCCATCATGACACGTATGGTGTATATATATTATAATGCAGCGCAATCTGTGTGCTCCCTGCCTGTCGGCTCTGCTGATCGATGTATAATAAGGCTCTGCTGCCGTGATGTGCACTGAAAAGTGTTTCTGTCGCAATATTATCGTTGTCGAGCTAGCTAACTAGCATACATTGTCACTATCTGCTAACGTTAGCTTTAGCCTTCGTTTTCTAATAGTTTTTTTCATAGGCTATAAACGGAGGTGGTATAAGTAGGCTATAGATCTTGTACTTGAGTAAAAGTAGAAGTACTCAGATCTTGTACTTGAGTAAAAGTAGAAGCACTCAGATCTTGTACTTGATTACAAGTACTCAGATATTGTACTTGAGTAGTGGGGGGGGGGGGAGGGGTGCAGAGCTTCGTGACCGCGGAGCGTGTGAACGTTGTGATCAGCTGTTTTAGAGACCGACTCTGCTTTGTGACACAAGTTACGGTAAGCATTTCAGATTGTTGCCGCGCATGCGTACCTGCGTACCAGTTATGTGCGCCCCTGGCTGACATGGATGACAGTTAAGACACACACAGACACACTATAGCTCAGTTATATTTTTAATCAAAAAACTATTGAACACTGAAGTAACTATGATTGAATTGACTACAAATATGGCAATGGTGGTAAAGACTACAACAGCCATAATCCATTCTTTGTTTCAGGGACCTCTGCACCTGACCCTTTGATGTGTGATATTTTCATAACATGTCTGCATAGCAAGCAGTTGACATTCAAATGTTAATATTATATATTTCGATTGGAGGGAAATTACAAAAATATTTTAAAGAAGGAGAGCTGTGGTTGGTCGCTCATTTTTTAAAATTCGATATATAGTTTGGTTAAACCAGAGACTGTCCTCTCGTTCATCTTATCTTGTCTGGGGTGAGTGATCATTCCTCTTGTGAATTAATTGTGAAGCTGGTTAAAGCAGAATGTCTAAAATAAAGAGCTTATTTTTGTCATTTATGAACAAAGGAAAGCTGGTTAAATGATTCCATAGCTTAAATAAAGTATTTTTTGAGTCATTCAACTATGAACAATTAAATATATTTCAAGGTATACTATATTCAACGTTGGAAGAAGTAATCAGATCCTCTACTTTAGTACAAGTACTCATTAGCACAATTGTTAGCTAAATGTACTCCAAATATCAAAAGTAAAAGTAGTCTTTATGCAGAATTCATATTTTCACAGAATGATATTATGGTAATTGTATTATCCTGTTTTTATAAATGCAAGAGCATTTAAGCATTTACAACGTGGACCAAATGTTTAATCACCATGTGTGCAAGCATTGTGTTTGCAAGGTTTAATTTTAATTTTATTTTCACAGAGTGACGACTATTGAGCAGTTCATTACTGGTGAGTGTTGGTCAAAGACAGTGTTTGTAGTAACATATACCATGACAATATGTGGAACTTTCCAGTCTTTTCTTTGCAGGGTTTAATGCTGTGTTTTCCCCACAGATTGACAGCTTTGAGCAGTTCTCTACCGGTGAGTTGTGGTCCAAGACACTGTCAGTAGCATAAAGTATAATGAAAACAGATAGGCCCTTTATTAGTGTAAATCTAAGTGATTAGCAGCTTCTAATACAATTGATAATTTTTTTGTTTATAACTATTGTATGCTAAGCTATGCGATTGTATTGTACATTGTGTTAAGTAATTATATTTCCATGTCTGTGATGCTGATTAGTTTCTTCTCTGTTCTAGTTAAACAACCTACCGGCTTGACCAGCTACCCATCTACCTACTCATCTACCTTCTTCACTAGCTACCCATCTACCTTCACCACCTTCTCATCTACCTTCTTCACTAGCTACCCATCTACCTTCACCACCTTCTCATCTACCTTCTTCACTAGCTACCCATCTAGCTTCTTCACCAGCTACCCATTTAACTTCACCGGCTACTCATCTACCTTCAACACCCAGCTTTATCTCGTGAGCAGTTACAGTAAGTACATTTTTGTTGAACAGGATGCATCAACTATTAATGGACTTGTACGCTTTTGTTGCAGTTGAAATAAGTAATTGCGTAATTATTTGTACTATTTAAGGGGTCTGCTAATGTCTTTATTAATTCTAACAATGCCTACATACTTTCAGATGCCACGTGGTAAATCGTCCCGCCGTTCCCAGGCTGCAAAGCTACGCGTGGCTGGGACACGTGTGGGACATCAGCAGCCTGGCAATGCCAGTTTCGCACGTAAGTAGTCGAGGATTTTGTCATTCAATTTTGTATATGTTTAGGGTGTCCATTTTGGTTGTATCATTGTAAAATGTTTTTGCATGTGCATTTTTTACAGGCAGGCTCGTGCACAGATACACCCCTCTGTGGGCAAGCGAGCTAGTTATGATGAGGAGAATTGACTGAAATACACTTGATTTCTTTGCATTCATTTTTAGATAACTATCATGAAGCAGTGTTTGAAACATGGATTTGTTTGAAATATATACATTTTAAAATTCAATCACCGGTAGGACCCTTTATGCATTTGAGCCCTTTCCCTTCTAAAATCCTCTGCACGTGCCCGTTTACAGGTGTTATTGTAGGAAGGTGTGTTATTATTGCTTACATAATTTAAGAATTGTAAAGGTTCGTTAAGTTTAATGTCGGTGTCATTTTCTCTGTTTTTAAATAGCCGCTGGCGGTACGGGTAACCGCCATAGAGTGCAGAAATGGCCAATTTCGTCCCTGACAGGACGACAACACAAGATGGTCATACCAGCGGAGTCTCCAGACAAGGAAGTATGAATTGTTTTCAGATTTTGTTAACAAAGTCTGGGTAATCATTAGTGATTTTCATTTGAAATAATGTCTTCTGTTGTTACAGTTTGTCCTCCTTGTTGGAGCTTCACATCTCCGTTCCATCGTCGATGGAATTGTGAAGATGCCAGAGGGAAGGTTTTCCTTTGGTGCCATGTCCACACCGGGGGCATGCGCAACCCAGCTGCGAACCGAGGCAGCCAATGCTGTGCTGCCTAGGACACCAGATGCAGTCTGTGTGATGGCTCCGAGCAACAACCTAACATCCAGTAGGACCATCACCGAAGCAGGAGAGGACTTTGCGGAGCTCCTCGCCACTGCCCGCAGTCGCTGGCCCAACGTAAGCTTATTTTTTATTGTATTTATTATAGTTCTTATAATATTACATTTTGTATTCTTATTGATGTGGTTGTATGTTTATGAATTTCTGAAAAATTGACATTTTTTTTATCAACAAATTGTGAAAAATAGCGTACCTTTGTAACTTTGATTAGGTTTTTGCCATGGACTTCCCCCCGCGCCTTACCGTTGACCCTGACTACCAAGACATGATGCGTCAGGAATTTCGTCGTGTTGCGGCACGTATGGGTATGTTTAACAAATATTTAGGTTCAAGTACTACCGTAAATCATTTTCCTATTTTTCATTATTCTTTGTTTTAAAAGAGCAAAATATAATATCTGTGTGGATATGTTAGTAATCTTGATCTTGTTGGTTTTTTTTAGGCGTGAAGTACACACCGCTTGCTGAGTACTTCCCTTTCAAAGAACTTGACCTGTGGAGCAGAGATGGCGTGAGTGACATGGCAAATGGAAACGTTTTCTCTGTATACTTGTTTGTAGCTGAAATTCCAAGTTCCGTTCTTGAAAAAACATATTGAAGGTTATGTGCTATTTGTAAATGTATTTGTTTTTGCAGGTGCACTTGAGTGACAGTGCGGGAATGCCAATCCTGGTCGGTTCTATCTGGAATGCAACATACATGCAACTTGTTCCAGCCGAGCCGAAGCCATCTCCTGTTGTCCACAGAAGATCACCGCCTGCGAGGAGAGTCACTCCAAGGGTGATTGTCAAAGGAGAGGTTGCTAAATCACCGCAACTGGATCCTTCCAAGTGGACCGTTTTCGGCCAGGGCAGGAAGGTAATTGTGTGGCAGACATCTTTCAATAAGAGTGATATTCCCTGAGCAGTTTGCCTTGATAATGATGGAAGAGTACCCATTTGATTAACACAAGCTATGCTATTTATCTTTACAGAGGAGCCAACACGATGAACCTGAGCAGTCCATTGATGCACTTAAAGAAGCAGGGACTGTTCAGCAGGAGGTAGGTCAACTTTGTAGTATGCTTTGAAATCATTGGGGTATGTTTATTGCAGTTTATATGTGCATTTCTTTTTCTAAAACAGTGTTTCTTCATTTTTATTTCACAGGAAGTGGAGGAGAGTTATCTTCCACTGACACCTGTGTGGTTTAGCAGTGCAATGTTGGTTGAGATGGACAAGATTAGTCCATCCCATCTTCCTGGCCCTGATGAGTGCACACCACCGGTTCCAACACCACAAAAGGTAATTTGTTTGTATGTTGGTTGATGCCCTATTATAAAATGTATCCTTCCTGACAAACTCTACAGTGAGGACAACTTATACTGTCCATAAGGAGTTATTAGTGGAGGATTAATCATTTTGTTTTCCTTACGTTAGAAAGCAAAGTTGGAGCTGAAGCAGAGGGCTCCTGCCTCCAAGAAAACCCTGGCAAAGCGACAGGTTGTTCTTGTTTTCTTCTTTTTTAAAGGCAATATAGGACTTGTTTAAAACTAAGAAGTTACACGAATATCGGTGGTGTTATTTATTCTCAAGTTTACTAAATTGTTTTGTTTTTTTTAGGGGGAGGCAGCTCCCATTGTTGTGGAGGTGATTTTACGGCCACCTACCAGTAGAGGGACAGTTGCTGTGGAGCAGCAGGTCTGTGGTCTTTGTGTGAACGATGTGCTTTCAGAGTGACATTTGAATGAATCATGCTAATTTATTGACATAGTTACTTTTGCTCATTGTTAAAATAAAATAGTTTCAGTTGTTAGCCTGCATGCAGTCAACGTTGTTTCAAGTGTACACAATCAATGACAAGAAACCTCTCTTTTGAGTTCCATTCAGTATGTGTGTGGGTAAGTAGAAAAACAAAAGTTAATATATAACAATAATCATTTTGTATTAGTAATTGTATATCTTTCTATTATTTAGTTAAACGTTTGTGAAACAATTTAAGACACATAGTGTTTTTAGCAGTTTTTTTATATATGAATTTTCTTCTAGGAGGAGCCATTGCCGGGGTTGGAGCCATTGCCAGGAGTGGAGCCATTTCCAGGGGTGGAGCCATTTCCAGGAGTGGAGCCATTTCCAGGAGTGGAGCCATTTCCAGGAGTGGAGCCATTGCCCCGCGCAGAGCCATCACTGAGCGTGGAGCCATCATCCAGCAAGGAGCCATCATCCAGCAAGGAGCCATCATCCAGCAAGGAGCCATCATCCAGCAAGGAGCCATCACCCAGCGTGATAGTGGATGTTGATGAGGACAACGGATGCAGAACAGGTAAGGGCTATGCTTGCATGTGTTCAGAAAAAGTGCAGCTGGCTGTTGTCGCAGGGACTGTTGTGAGGTATGCATCCGTTTCTGACGATAAAATATCTGTTGCATGTTCTATAGCGGCTGCGATCAAACATTTGATTGCGCCTGTGTGTTCGTGGAGCAGTACAGATATCGATGCCATACGTGTTGCAGGGTCAAAGCTTAACTCGTTTGTATTAGGGGAAGCCCATAAAATGAATGTAAAGCCAAAGAACTTGTGCAGGTTGGTTGAGCAGACCAGTGTGTTTGGACGTAAGTGGAACGTCAATATGGGTCTGCCAGTGTACGGCGAATTTAATTTGTCTGAAGGGGAACAGGTATTGTCGGAGAAGCTGCTTGAACACTTATCCAGGGATGGCATGTGTCTGTTTAGCCTAAATTCCGCAGCCAGTGTCATTATTCAACACAATGACTGTATTGTGGTCGTTGATTGTGGCACACGTGCTGCGTCTGGGTTAGCATCCAGTTATGGCACATCTGTAGCCGTGTTCAACACATGCCTTAATGACCTGATGTTTTACATCAGGAATCTCAATAATTCATTGAATGCACAGAAGTTTAGCATTACAAGACTTTCTGTGAAAGCAGCTGAAGTTAATTCGGAGACGGCTAGAGTCATTGATGGGGATATGGGGTGTGTCAGGGGAACATTCAGTCAGGGTGATCAACGCTTTAAATATGCAGGACTTCAGTGCATGGCTGTCAGTTTGGTAGGCATAGCCAAACACAACATTGACAGCGTGTTTACATGGCAGACCGACAACCTGGATAAAGTTGTTGTACTTGGTGACAATCTGTACACCTCCCTGCGTGACCAACAAGGTATCAGTGGAGGATACAGTCTACTTTCGATTCCAGATCTGCCCAAGGAGACCATTATCGACGGACAAAGATTTCAGTTTCAATACAGTGACTTTGTGTCTGGAAATGTGGATGTGGTTGAGGGTGATCTCATTAAAGCGGGTGTGCAAACCACTTTAAAATATGCACTGGAAAGCATGTGTAGTAAATATGACACATGCTTTCTGACAATGAATGGCGCTACATGTGCCATCATTGGTCAAGGTGGACACTACGCAGTGGTCGACTCCCATGCACGCAGTGCGTCTGGGATGAGCGATGGCGAGGGGCGTAGTGTTGTTCTGTATTTCAGAGGCCTTGAACACGTGTTTGAATACATATGGACATTTGCAGCGTTCCTCAAGAAGTCTCAAAAACAGTTTGAGATCGCTGGTGTCCGAGTCACTCACATAGGCCCAATTGAAAGCAGTAATCTGTCTTTGGGTCCAAGAGTGACTCCCAAAACGACAGAGACTGATTTGGGTTGTAGTTCAGCTATTCAGTCCACCAACATTCAGATGGGTGCAAAGCATAACATTCCAAAGGGATCTTCTGAGTCTCAAAAACAGTTTGAGGTCGCTGGTGTCCGAGTCACTCAAATAGGCCCAATTGAAAGCAGTAATCTGTCTTTGGGTCCAAGAGTGACTCCCAAAACGACAGAGACTGATTTGGGTTGTAGTTCAACTATTCAGTCCACACTTGGCTGCACCAACATTCAGATGGGTGCAAAGCGTAAGATTCGTAAGGGATCTTCTGCTTGCAAAAAATTAAAAAAGAGTGATGTTACCGCAGATAATTCAGACGTTGCTTTTGTCAAAGAAGTAAGAAGTGGACGACTGCAGTTTAATCCTCTTAGTCATCAACTTGCACAAGCTCTTTGTGAGCAGTTACATGTGCATTCAGAAAAAGTAGATTTTGTGTCTACACAAATTGGTTTAATAGGGGCTCCATGTCTCAATGAAAAAATAGAGGGTGACGGAAACTGTTTCTTTAGAGCAGTGAGTCAAGCTGTGTGTGGTACACAAAGGCATCACACAATAATTAGGCGTGCAGTGGTTCATCAAATGCAGAGCAATGCTGTGCCTTATGAGCGTATTTTGACCTCCTCCATGTCAGAATACCTCAGCACATCCAAAATGCGGGAGGTTGGCAGTTGGGCAACAGAATTAGAAATTCAAGCAGCAGCAGATGCGTTTGGAGTTAATATATTCACATATTGTGATCCACGCTGGCTAAAATATAGTTGCGAGAATGGGCAGTTGTCTAATCAGGGGGTTTATTTGGAAAACCGCAATGGTAATCATTATGAGACTGTTGTGTGTGTAAAACAACCTAATTTGCAGAGTTGTTATGGGTATTGCAAATTTGACACTTCTTGTCCAAGACTGTACAATGTCAGACGGACAACTAGGGGCAAAAGGAGGGTTACCGAACAAACGCATGGTACATCGTCTGCTGGGGACACAGATTGTGTGGAAAAGAGTGATGTAAGTAAAATCACTCTTGAATTTAATCCTTTGTGCAATGAAGTGGCAAAAACACTTTGCACAAAGTGTAATATAGACTTTGAAAAGCAGGATGTACAGGGACCTACAGTAACTGGGTCCCTAGGTGTGGTCTGTAAGACCGAAAAAATTAAAGAGGACGCCAATAGTTTCTTCGGAGCGGTAGCTCATGTTCTCAGTGGTTCTCAGAAGAGCCATCGAAAGATTAGAAAGACTGTTGTGAAGCATATGATGAATCACGCAGAACAAACTAAAGTAGTTGGGGGATCTGCTTCAATTTCAGACTACATTGAGAAGTCTCGGATGAAGTATGTAGGACATTGTGCCACAGATGTAGAAATCCAAGGGACAGCAAATGCTCTTGGAGTGGACATTTTTATCTGCAGTGGGGAAAAATGGCTCAAATACACTTGTAATTGTGCAATGCTTTCAAAAGAAAAAATATACTTGAAACATTGTGATAAAAATCATTTTGAGCCAGTGGTTTGTATCAAACCTTACGATGAACAAAGGTGCTTTGAATTGTGTAAAGTGGGGGGTTTGTCAGAGACACGGTCTATGCGTAGCAGTGTCGATATCTGTACTGGGAAGGGTGGGGTTAAAGACAATGCAGAGAGTGTTGCCAGCTGTAGTCGTAGGCATTCAACATATTTAAAAAAGATATACAGCTCAAAAATTAAACGGTATTATAAAAGTAACACAGTGTACCAGCAAACGATTAGGGATGCGTCCATGAAAAAGTATAGTGATGCAAATTATCAAGAGAGAGTAAGAGTCGGTCTTAGAAAAAGGTATTGTGAGGATGAAGATTTCAAACACAGAGCAATTGGACATACTCAGGTTAGATACCATGAAGACCCATTGCATAATCAGATGAGGAAGGATTCAAGTAAAAGAATATATAAAAGTAATCCGTTGAAAGTAAAAGAATATAGTGTAAAAAAATACCATGACGATGATCTGCATAGAGAAAGGGTTATTGCATTAAGCAAACAGAACTATAGACTAAAGGTTTTACATAGAGAGAAAGTTATAGCATTTAACAAACGTAAATATAGGCAAAATAAATTGCATAGAAAGAAGGTAAAATCCATGACTTCAAAAAGGTATCATGGTAATCCAAATTATAAGAAGCGAATAACAGCTAGCAACAAATTGAAGAGGCAACAAATGCAAAAGAATAGACAGGTATTTGATATTGTGATGCAGCAGTTTTTGGCCAAAGTTAAGAATGGACCCGTTTTTGTTTGTAGCTGCTGCGAGAGGTTGTTATTTGAATCGCAGGCCTTGCACTGTAAAAAAGAGAAATATAAGAATCAAGAACTCGCCAATAAATGCATCAGAGACACATATTTACACACATGTACTGATGACTGTGAAGTACCCTGTGTTTGGATTGATATTGGGAGAGGGCAGTCTTGGATCTGCAGCAACTGTGATAACAAACTTAAGAGAGGTGTGATGCCACCTGAATGTGTTCTCAATAATTTGGCAGTAGACCCCATTCCCCCAGAATTGGCTTGTTTGAACAGCATAGAGCAGCATTTAATTGCCAGAAATATACCATTTATGAAGATGGTGGCATTGCCCAAAGGTGGGCAAAATGGAGTTCACGGACCGGTGACGTGTGTTCCAGCCAATATCGTCCAAACTACAAATTTGCTCCCCCGCTCAAGGATGGAAGGTTCCATCTTGCGAATAAAGTTAAAGCGTAGATTGACCTTCAAAGGTCATTTTAAATTTCAATTTGCAGACCCAATGCGCATAATGCGTGCATTACAATATTTAAAAAGAAACAATAAGCACTATAAGGATATTGAATTTAATAAAAGTTGGTATAACGAGTTTTGTAGGGAGGAGGAAGAGAATGAACAAACCCACACCAAGGAAACATCATCAGAGGCTGCTGAGGAACAGCCATGTTTGTTTCAGGACATGGATTTGATGGCTGTGGATACTGATCTGGAAATTGCAGATCAGTTTTCAGAGAGAGAACTGAACATGGCCCCAGCAGAAGGCAATAGTCCTGCAAAAGAAAGTTCATTCATTCCTGTAAGGGTTCCCGAGTTTGAGGAACTGGATGACGCTCTGCTTAATGAGTTTTGGAGGGAACGGGATGATGACTTTGTAGACAATCCGACCTTGATGGATTTGCCAACTAATGAAACGTCTGATGCTAATGCTGATGATGAGCTTTTACACGACAGGCAACAGCATTGCATGTTTCAGGACACATGTCTGATGCCTGTTGATATTGGACAGGAAGTGTTGGATCAATATTTTGATAGTACATTAAATGTCGCTCCAGCAGAGGGTAATAGTCCTGTGAGGCTGTTAGCAGACATTTCCAACGAAGCAAAATGCTTTCCTGTATTGTTCCCACTGGGCATTAACACCTACCGTGATTCGAGGCCCCGCAAGATAACATTAGCACGCTATTTGAATATGCGTGTTTTAAATGCTGATGTTAGGTTTGCACAAAATATAGAATACATTTTTTATGCTCAGTATTTGTCTGAGGTGCAACAGGTATTGTCCAGTGTGTCTATTGCATTGCGAAAAGGCAAAGCAGGCTTTCCATCCAAACCGATAGAAGATAATTTGTTGAATCAGGAAACCATAAGAAAACTGTTGCAATTTGATGATGGCTTTCGTTTTCTCTCACCTATTAGAGGTACTCCAGCATTTTGGCAGCGCGCACAGAGTGACCTCCTCGCTTGTGTGCGTCAACTTGGTGTGCCTACCTGGTTTTGTTCATTCTCTTCGGCTGATCTTAGGTGGGCAAATTTACTCGACGCTATTTTAAAACAGGAAGGTAGAACACAGACCGCTGAAGATTTAGATTGGGCAGACAGATGTGAACTCTTGCGTCGTAATCCTGTGACAGCGGCCAGGATGTTTGACTATAGATGGAATTGTTTTTTGAAAGAAGTACTTATGTCCCCTTCACACCCAATTGGCAAGATTGTAGATTATTTCTATCGCGTGGAATTTCAGCAGCGTGGCTCACCTCATGTGCATTGCTTGTTTTGGATTGAGAATGCACCCAAAATTGATAAGAATACAGATGAAGAGGTGATTCAATTCATCGACACATATGTGACATGTGAATTACCATCACAAGATGAGCCGTTAAAGGACATTGTGACATCTGTGCAACAGCATTCCAAAAGACACTCTAAAACGTGTAAGAAAAATAACACTGTTTGTCGATTTAATTTCCCCCGGCCAGCTACTGCTAGTACATTTATATGTCGCAGCAGTGAAGATCAATGCTTAGCAGAATGTAGCTGTAACTTGACACCATGCGAGTGTGTAAAATTAGAGTCTTTGGCCGAAAAAAAGGAGAAGAAGGAGTTTGCAGTTAAAATTCTGAACTCCGTCAAAAAGGCTCTTTCAGGCGAAAATGTAATATTTGAAAGCCTGGAACAATTATTTGAAAGTCTGGGGATTAATCAAGCGATCTTCGAGGCTGCTTACAAATTGGTTGGTAGAAAGACACACGTTGTATTGAAAAGACAAATTGGCGAAGTCTGGATTAATCAATACAACAAACCACTGTTAAAATGCTGGAATGCCAATATGGACATTCAGTATGTGGTCAATGCCTATGCATGT